CACCGCACCCCCGCCACCTCTTGCTCCTCATATGCACTCTCCATGCTAAGGTCAGAGGGATCCTTTAAAAACAACTCAGCCACAACACTTCCTGGAGGATCTTGCTCCAGTGGCTGCTGACTGCGAAGAGCAAACACCAGAATCCCTGACATGGTCCACAAGGTCCTAAATGACCCAGCACCCTGTTGCCAGCCCAACCCCAGCACGTCCCTGCGCTCCTCCTGCCCAGCCACCCCTGCTATTTCAGGCCGAGTTCCATTTTGCCCCTCTGCCTGAAACCCAGGGGCCCCACCCACTTGGCATGTTGGCTCTTTATCCGTGTGTTTCAGCTTAAGTGTCACTTCTTCTAATGCCTTTCCTGACGTGCCCTCTCAGACAACTCTCCTTTTGGACTCCAACTCCATGTTGTGTCTTTCCAGCCCTTGCAAGCTCACCCGTATGCACTGTATTGGCCTGCTTACCTGCTTACTTGGGCCTGTTGCTACTCCCATGTATCTCCCATTAAAATGAAAGCCCAACAGGAACAGGGGCCATTGCTGGCCTCCTGCTATATGCCCAGGGCTTGCAACTTCCTTGCACACAGAGGGTGTTCAAGAAATACTTGCTTGATTAATGAGTGTTTGAGACCCAGTCTGTCTTCAAAAAAATCCACAGCAAAGGGAAAACAAGGCAGTGGCCTAAATGCAAAAGGGCATCGATACTCATGGATTTAAATAAGTTTTTGTTCTTCCCGGTTTTTATCTAACCCAAACCAGATCTGATTTCTCCTTCCTTTTGACCTCCTAGAGCACAGGGCCTCCACTCCTACTCCGGGTGGGGTGGGGGGATGGGGGGGCATGCAGAGGATTGTACATATAGCAGGTGCTCCACAAATATCTGTTCAATTGATCAGAAAAGAAAAAGTACTGGTCCTTCCTCATCATTTTAAAATCTCTTAGTTCCTAAAGTTTCCTTTCTGGTGTGCGTTGAATAGGGAAGGCTGCATAATAGTCTTCCAGTTGAAGACTATTAGTTAGTTGGTTAAACCCCCCCAAATAGAATCATGAGGTGCTGAACTTGGGTGAAGTTCTTCAGTCTGGTTTTAATTTGCCTAGTCCCTGGGCTTCTCATCTCTCAGTTAAGTACTAAAGATCCATAAACACACGTGTTCTGTGAAAACGCTAGAAGCTAGAGGACCCAGCCTGAAACCCACTGTCAGGAAAGGGGCCTTCTCCTCCTCTGCCCTTGGCCCTCAGGACATGGCCCCCCTGGTTCCTTCCCCAGGCCCTCCGCCAAGACTGTGAAGTGAGAAGGGCCACACTGGGGACATCGGTCTCTTGCTGACTCCACCTGAACGAGGTCTGCCAGGAGAAACTCTGGAGACACTTGCCTTGGCCTTGAGCAAGGCTGCCAAGCCTGAGTTCTGAACAATTTCTCCTTGGAGATATAAATTATGCTCAAATAGATTCGACCCATTGGTTTATCAGGCTGTGACGTACTGATAGGTAGGGGTGGTGCGTAACTTAGTGATTCAGAAACATGAGAAACTCAGCCACTTCGTTTCCTCAACTAGCCAGTGGAAGTGGATGGTATGTATGTAATGATATCCCTACTTCACAGAGTTTGTGTGGGAATAATGAGATAACGTACTCAAAGCTTCTAGCCTAGTGTGGAACACTAGTGTGGAACAGAAAATGCTCCACCATTGGAGAGAACTCTGCCTAAAATGCCCCCTAAGGCTGATTTCCCCCCTCCAAAGCCCTCACATAGCTGCCTGCCTCATTCTCCCAGTCTCAGGTTTAACAGCCTCGCTTCAGAGAGTTCACCCCATCACGGGTATAAAATACCCTGCCCACCCCTGCTTATTTGCTCAGACCACCCTGGTCTTCCTTTCAAAGCACTTGGCCCACGTTGTGATTATAGATTTATTTGTTTCCAACACGTTAACTATCTGTGTCTTCCCCTGGAGTGGGAGGTCCAGGAGAGCAGAGGCCCTGCCCCGTTTTGCTCTCTGTTATGTCCCGGAGCCTAGCACAGTGCCCGCCCTGTATGCAGTAAGTGCTCAACTCGTAGTTGTTCCAGCGTTGAACGAATCAGTCGTTCATAATAAAAGAGCAACAGGATCCAAAGGATTTCAGTAAATGTGCAGATGACAAAGCCACACTTGGCTACTGAGGGAAATGACTGGACTTGACCTGTATTCATAAGATAGGGGTCCCTGCCCTACTTTTGTAACTTACTGGTCATGTGACTGTAGAAAAGTCATTTCCTCTCATCTGGGCTTCCACCGCCTCACCTTAAAATGAAGATAATAACACTCACCCATCCACCTCACAGGGTTGTTCTGAGAATCAAACGAGATAATGGATGTTGAAAGCACAACATGATACAAAAGTTAGAACCTTGTTTAAAATTGTAATTGCCGCCAATGGCAGCTGAACTAACGGTATGCAGTCTTGACACTAGGAGCCCCTGGAATATTTCATGGGGAGACCTAGTTCAAGGTGGGGGGAAGATATGCAAATCTGACCCAACTGGCAATGCTCCCCTTACTTGGAATTAAAAAGGAAGGGCTGGTGGTTGGAATGGGGCGGGGCTTGCTTGCAGATGAACTTCAATAAAAATTGGCTTTGATGGGAGTGCAAATTCTATAATGAAAAACACCCCACGCCCTCCCTAGATTCCAGGAAGCAAATTGGAAACAGCCCTCTCCGGCTTCTCTGAAGAGCTGAGAGAGATGAACTGGAGGAGAGAGGGGCTGGCTGCAGCCACTCACACCGTGCTCATCCAACGATCCATTTCCTGGGATCCCCAGATTGATGCCCATTTGGAAACACTCTAGCATCTGGTCTAGATACAGAGCATTAAAAGTCATGGGGCCTACTTACCAACAGGCTCCAGAAAATATCTGACCTGCAGTTTTCTCTCTTTTCACCCCCTATTTCTGGATCAGTTTAGAAAAAGAGGTCCAAGGCCAGACCATGACCTCATGAGGTCTCAAGAGCCAGGATGTTGTGAGGTTTGTCTCAGCAGCCCTCCTGAAAGCACCCCA